TCAGCTTTAACCACAGGGTAATGGAGGCGCTTGGGATGGTTTTGAACTGGGAAAAGGGAAGACAGGGCTCCCACGGGGGGATGGTGGTAAAGCAGCATAGCCAGGACAAAGGTAAGCAAGTGTGAGGCTGGCAGGACCCGCAGGACTTAAGGACTTGCTGATGGGTGGCTGGGTGAGATGAGTCTGCCACCTATTCTTCTGATTCAAAGGATTTTTTGTTTTCAGCAAGGATTACACTGCAGTGGTGGCACACTTCATCTGCATGAGAATTACTGGGACAAAGATGATTAAGAATGCAAATTAAAGGTATCCCTCCATTCAGTCAAGCTAGAGTTGGGGGGGCAGGCACAAATTTCCCACTCCTAGTCATCACCCCCCCTTCATGTTCAAGTGGGTGTGTGGGTGGGTGCGGTGGTGTTTATCACAACAGCAGAGTGAAGGAAAGGGATGATAATGCAGAGGGGGGAAGGGAAAAGCTTTTTCTACCTTTGAACATGAAAGTTAGATGCAACCAATACAGTCTTGTTTAGGCTTTTATGCTTATAATTACATTTAAAACACACAAAGACTGTGTGCCTCCACCAGAAAGAAGCTCAGTAGATACTCAGAGTGGGAGCTAGGCGGATGGGCTGAAGTTTCAGGAAATCAGTGAGGGAGGGGGTCACCTCAGGGCACTGGCTGCACCTACTTCCCACCACCCCCCAGGTGAGGCCTTCCTCCCTGGAGCCTAAGGAGCCAATCAATTTGTGCTGAACTATCAGGTGTGAGCAGCACCTCCCCAGATAATGCCAAAAGCCCTCTGGATGTTGGGGGTGGGGGGCGTGGAGGTGGGAAGAAGCTGGGTCACCGAAAATCATAGCCTTAAAGGAAGCCTTTCACAGCCTTGGAATCAAATTGAAATGGCTGAGTCCCAGCTACCTATCTCTCAGGGTGAGAAACTTCAATGTGCCTACTCTTTAATTTTTTAAATGGGGATACAGGGCCTACCGGGTGGCACAAAGGGTTAAGCACAGCACTATGAAGCTATCAACAGCCACTGCAGCTCAGGTTCTAGCCCTGGCCAGGGAGCTACCCACATGGCACAGCAGACCTCTCCTGTCTCCCCGCTGCTCCCCTCAGCAGTGTATTTCAGTCAGTCTGCCTGTTCTGCTCTCCACTCTGTCTCTGGTGAATCCTCTCATCCCCTGCACCGCTGGTCTGCACCCCAGTTCTTGTATGCATAAATAAATATTTAAAAATAAATAAATAAATAAAATGGGGATACAGGATCTATCCCAGGGCAGGGATGCCGGAAGGATTATGTAATGTGCTTAGAGTAATGCCTAGCCTTTGAGACAATTAACAAACAGCAAATGGCCGACTTTTCATGTTTTCAGAGTTGTCTAGAAAAGGAACCAGAGATATTTGCTTACAGCTCTGGGCTTGGTCTTCAGTGGAAGGAAACCTACTCCTCCCAAAAGGAATAATAGACATATTGGGCCTGCCGCTGGGCTGTTATTTAATGTGTTACTAATCCTCTCACCCTCCACACCTCTGGCCTGTACCCCAGTTCTTGTATGTATAAATAAATAAATCTTTAAAAAGAAAAAAAAAACGAAAAAAAACACAAAAGCGCCTACCCTAAACCTTTCTGGTCTAGGCCACCACCTTCTATTAATTAAATTGACAATTACTGAACAAGATTTTTCTTATAAAATCCGTGAACTTGAGGGACACAAGTTACTTCGTTTCTCTACATAAGCTGCAGATCAGTGATCCAAGAGATGGACTAAAAGCATCAGTCAGGTTTTCCCCACTCAGGATCCATCCTCTTAAATAATCTACAGGGAAATGTGTGCTTGTGTCGCCCTAATGGACTGGAACTAGCTTTCCCCCTTTACCAACATCAGGTCAGGTCCATTTAAGCAGCAGAAGCAAACGCCTATGATGTACCAGAACTGTGACTAGGAGGCACAGTCTACAGGTTTACCTTCAAAGACTCTCCAAGTCCAAGGGAAGAAATGGATATAGACACCATTAGGCTTTCCTGGGGCTGACTGGTCAGCCAGGGTTTGCTCCAACAGGCTATGAGAACCTCGCTGATCCCTGTGTAGCCAGCTCTTATAGGACTAGAAACAAACCATGTGTCGTTTTCCACCAGCCCAGGGAGGGGTTTCCTCCTTTTTTAAGATTTATTTTTATTTATTTATGCATACAAGAACTAGGGTATAGACCAAAAGTATGGCGGGGTGAGAGGATTCACCAGAGGCAGAGTGGGGAGCAGAACAGGCAGATCTCCTGAAATGCACTGCTGAGGGGAGCAGCAGGAGAAACAGGAGAGGTCTGCTGGGCCAGCAGACCAGGCAGGCCAGGGGGGCAGGGGATTAAACTGGTGCTGCAGTGGCTGGCGCTGAGACTTTAACCCCTGCACCACCAGGGAGGTCCTGGAGGGGTTTCTTCTTTTCAGCTTCAGGCTGAGAAATCGCAAAATGCTTTCTGGGCTAAATCCTCAGAGATGAGGAAAAATGAGATTATTTTTTAGCAAAAATGTCCTGGGTGACCTCATCAGGCGGAACACTAAATAGGAACCACCAGGCCCAATCTATAACTGCCCCAGTGGCCGCTGAGCACTAGCTGGGTTCTAGGCGTAACTAAGTTATACGGAAAGGCAACATGGTAACATAACTACCTGGCTCAGGTTCAATTCCATTAAAATCACATCATGGAACTGCATTACCATTTCTGACAAATGAGAAAAAGAAGACCATGAATCTAGGCTCCACAGGCATTTGACTCACCCTTGAGTCACATCCAATACTCACATGCCAAGAGTAATGCCTTTTGACTCATTACTATCAATTAAAATAAATGTTTTTGGAGACCTCACAGATGGTAGATTTCTCACTAAGATCCCCTTATTTTACAAGTGTGGATGCCTAGAGACAGTAGGGGTGACATGCCCCCCCCTCGAGTGATGGGGGAACACGGTGAGAATCAGCATTCTTTCTCACGAAACACTTTTGTAAGGACTCAGATCTCACATAGATGCATACATATACACACACCCCTCCTTGGTATTTCTAAAATGTTCTTCCCTTGCCATCAAACCTGGCTCAAGATTAAAAGGCTGGCAACTAAGAGTAATTGGCTGGAAATTCTCAAACTTTTTTTGCACACCCATGGTTCTCTCTCTGGCCCCAGAGTCAGCCCCAAGTATTCACTCCCTTTCTCTTCAAGCAGTGAAGGTTTGTCCCCACTGTTGGAAGGGAACAAAGAAGCAGCCACTTTGAGCCATCTTTTCACAAGGCTGGTTAACGCTTCAGGCAAGGACATTCGCTGGCGTGGAGTGCCATAATCTTCAGGATTCATCCCGAGACTACCGTCTTAAGTTCAGAAAACCCCAGCTCCAAAACTGCAGGTTGAGTGTTCACAGGTGCTCACCACCAGGGACAATCCCTAAAAAGACCTCGTACTGGCTGGGCGACCTTGAACCACTATTTCTTCCTCGAGTTTCACCCCTAATTGAAAATGCTAGAATGGCCACTAACAAGCCCTTCAGTCGGCGAGTAATTTCTGTACAAAACCTTAGCTACCTCACACCCCACGGGCTACAAGCCCCAATCACAATTTTGTCTCCCGATTCTCCGCAGCAGGGTTCTTGCATTCCTGCATCCTCGACCTAAAAAATGTGGAAACTAAAAATGCATTGTTTTCTCCAAGTCACTTCGCGACCACGCACATACACTGTTATGAGTTGACCCTGCAGTGTTTTACAGAAACTTCCATAACATTAAAAGTGTTATAGGGCAGGCACTAGGAGGTGGGCACGTTCCTTCCCCTTTTCAACCACAGAGAACTTGAGGTTCGGAAAAGCTGAGACACAGGCTAACGTCACATGTGGAAGCAGTCGAGAGGCTCCAGGACGCAAAATTAGTTCTCAGTGCAAATCCTCGGCATGTTTATTAAACCTTGTGCCTTCGGAGATGGTCGGCGCAGAAAACACCGAGTACTCAGAAGTGAAAAAAAAAAAAAAAGGTGGCGGGGTGGGGGGGGCAGGGGGGTTAGAGAACGTGAAGACAACGTTTCAAATCGTGGAAACAGAGAAGGTCGCTCCATCCAATGGGCGGCCACGGTGAAAAAGCAAGGGAAGGATGAGACGCTGCTAGTGGGACCTACGGAAGCGCAGATTCACGTCTGCGGCGCTCCCGGATTTAAAAGGCACCAGAAAAAGACCCGCAGTCCTACCCCACCCCACCCCCCGCCCCCCCAGAGTAGAAGCACCCAGAAGAAAGCCTGCAAAATCCGCCTCCCCCTCCTAATTCCTGGACGCAGTTCCCGCTTCCCCAGCCCCGTTCGGGTCGGCTCTCCGTCTCGCCGGCCTCGGGGATCGGGGAGTTCCAGTTCCCGCGCCCAGACCTCACCTGCCCCCCCCACCCCAATAGCCATCGTTTCCTTTTCCCGCCCCCGTTCTTTTCCGGGGGCTCCGTCTCTTAGTGGATTTTATTCTGCGAGTGCGGCGCGGTCCCCGCCAAGCCTCGCGGCTCCCACGAGGTGAGCCCGCGCCCCCCACGAGGAGCGCCCCGCCCCGGGGGGCATCCACCCGTCTGGGACACTGGAAAAGGTCACGCGGGCAGCCCCGCGCGGCACAACCCCCCGCCGGGGCCCGCCGCGCGCTTCCCTCCCCGGCTCCCGGGGTGGGGTGGGGGGAGCCCCGGCGCCGCGCGGCGCCACGGGGACCGGGTGGGGACGGCCGAGCCCGCGTGGGGCGCGGGAGGTGCGCCCGGAGCCCCCCGGGGAGGCAGGGCCGGAGGAGACGGGGCGCGGCCCCTCCAGGCCCCGCGAGGAGGCCGCCACCAGGGCACGCGGGCCCGCAGCGCGCGCGGCACCGCCGCCCCGGAGGCACCCGAGCCGCCCGCATTGTTCGGCCCGCGCCGCGCGCCGCGTCCGGCTCCGGCGCCAGCACTCCGGGCGGCAGGGGCGGCCGCGGCGGGGCCGGGCAGGTGGCGGCCGCCCGCCCTCACCTTTGGCGCCGAGCTTGAAGTCGAGCGTGCTGTGCCGTGCTGCTGCCATAGTGCGGCGAGGCCCTGGGCCATGCCTGGGGGGGCGGCGCGGGAGGCTGGGGGCCGCGCGGCGGGTCCGGCGGCGTGCGGCGGGGGGGGCGCCGCGCCGGGGAGGCCGGGCGAGGAGTGGGCGGGGCCGCTGGGAGCGACCCAGGCGCGGGGGCGGGGTCGCGCCGCCTCCGGGAGGGAGGAAGCGAGGCCGCGGGCAGCCCCGAGCGCGAGCGCGGGGCGTGAGGCCTCCCAGAGCAATGGTGGCAACGTGGGCGCCGCGTTCCCCGGCGTGCGTCACCAATGGCCGCGCCCCGCGCCGAGGACCGCGGGGGCGCTCCCGCCATCCCTTAGGTCACCTTAGGTGGAGACACCGCAGCCGGACTTCCGGGCGCCCCATCCCCTGCGCTTCCAGCGCGGCCTTCCCCGCCCCCCCCCAGCCGAGCCCCTCGCCTTTCCCGGCCGAGCCCAGAAAAGAAAACGCCGGGATCCACCCCTGTCGTCTGAAAGTCCGACCGCCTTTCCCTTAACTCTTCCGGGGCTGCCGGCGAACCCTCGAGCACTGCGCTCCCCCTCTTCCTAGCCGGGGCTGCCTTTGCCTCTGAGGGCCGACTAGAAAGCTCGCGCGCTGCAGGGACCCAGGTTTTCCTGCCTAGTGGGAATGGGGGAGAAGCAAGCAAGCGGACCGCGTGGTGAATGTGGATTTGGGGGACGGCAGAGCCCAGAGGGGCTCCTCCATCGCCGCGCCTCCATGGCGCGCCGGTCCACCTCTCTGCGGCGGCTTGTCTTTGAATCGGGCGTGATGCCTGGAGTCCAGGGAGATGCGGCAAAGCAAAGAACAGTAGTGTCCCTGCCCTCACTCCCTCCTCATCGCCCGGCCCAGGGCTCCCGCTTCCCAGAAGCTCCACAGGAATTACTGTAATGGCAAGGGCAAAAGTCACATCAGTGAGCTCACCTAGAACCACAAAAAGGAGAACCCAGATGTTAAACTCAGCTCTCCGGCAGGCCACCCCCAGCGCCTGCTGTGCTGAGCCCCTTCCCTTTCTCCAGCTGGGCCAGGTCTTTCCTTTAACAGGAAGGTTTACAATGTTCTTTAACAGACCATTCGGGGAAGAACCGGGCTTCCTTTTTAACAAGTGCATTATTTTTTTTTTCCTACCCAGGTCTCCTGTTTGTGACTGCATGTTTTCCCTTCGGTGAAGAAGGAGCCCCGAAGGCTCAATTCATTAGCTGTTCTGCTTCTGTTCCATCTTTATTTCTGGACTCTTCTCCAGTTCTTGCTATTGCTCTGGAGTCGTGTAACTGGGAATGCAGGTGTCCTCCATCTAGTTGCAGGGGAAGTGGGGCTCCACAGGTCTCAAGTGTGCCTCTTCAAGGCGGGGGAGGCGCCACCAGCCAAGAACCTGGGCAGTGAGACAGGGCCTGGAACTGAAGGTCCTGCACTTGGCTTAATTCTTTGCTGTGATGTCTTGAAATTTCCTTTTGCCCGGGGCCTGCCCAGCAGCTTGCGTCCTGCAGTGCAGGGGACAGCAGCAGTGACCTCCACTCCCTTCGGGCTCCTGCTCCTGCTTGAGCTCGGGCTTGAAAGCCCAACACCAGTGGCTCACTGTTCTTCAACAAGGTGCAAAAAGATATGAGGGTCTCCCTGGTGGCGCAAGGGGTTAAGATGCAGCACTATGAAGCTATCCACAGCCACTGCAGCACGAGTTCGCTCCCCGGCCAGGGAGGTGACCCACATGGCGCAGCAGACCTCTCCTGTCTCACCCGCTGCTCCCCTCAGCAGTGTATTTCAGTCAGTCTGCCTGTTCTGCTCCCCACTCTGTCTCTGGTGAATCCTCTCACCCCCCCCACACACACACACACTTCTGGTCTGTACCCCAGTTCTTGTATGCATAAATAAATCTTTTTAAAAGAACATATGAAAGGGGAGGGATTGGGGTCAAAACTGGGGAGTTGCAATTGTATGGGGAATATAAAAATAAAATTTATTATAAAAAAATAAAAGAACATATGAAAATCGTTGAGATGCCTTCCTATTAACTAGGGAGCTAGTCAGAATAAAGTGGAGTTTAACAAAAACGCTTAATGATGTGGGCACAATGTCAGTGATAAATGGGCCTCGGTAGAGAACTGACATTGTTTGGGGATTTGGGGAAATTATTTTAAGAATGTTTGCAATGCAGGTATTATCCACAAATGACACAATCTTGGCCAGATTGCTAAAGATAGGGCATGGATAGGAATCAAGGACTGTTGCTTTAAACACCTCCAACACTGGAAGGCTTTCTCATTGCCTGGGTTTTCTAAGCTCAGCCCCCGACTTCAAGGCTTGCTACAGGACGAATCATGGCTTTGTTGCTGGGAACTGACCAGTGTAGCCTGTGCAGCTGCTGTCACATCAGGGAATCTAGCAACTCATCCTGCAATGCAAAAGCAAGTGAGACTTACCCAATGACACTGACATTTTTTAAACAACTTCCTAATCCATGAGATCTTGGCAATGGTGAAAATGCAGATATCTTGGATTAATGTCTTCTGGTAACTTGTCTCTTCTTAGCAAAAAAGACGATCGAGACAGAAAAGCAGCGCCCCCAACTCCCCGCCTGCCGGCAAACACCTCTGGTGAACGTGAACAGTCCTCCAGAGCACCGGCGGCGGACAGGGCTGCTGGGCGAGCAGGGTGGGACAGGATGCAAGCAAGGCCACTCCAGAACATGCCTGACACCGAGAACACGTGAGCCTCCCCCAAACCACAAACATCCCCCGGCCACCCCTCGGCCTGTGCATAACTAAGGAGCAGCAGCTGCTTGACCAACCACCGCCATCGCCTGGTCTCCCCTCCTTCTAGAAAGATCCAGCAAGACACCCAATCAAAGAATGGCCCCCAACAGCATCCGCTTCCTTGACAGCTCCCCCAGAGCACCTGGTGCTGACCCCAGCCCATGTGGGGTCCTTTCTAACGCCCGCTTGCTGGGAAGCCCCAAACTCCCCCACGGTGTGCGTTCACCCACCGCTGCCACGAGAAAATACTGTCTTGCTCCAATCCAAGTGTATGCTGGGATGTAGGGGAGCAGGGGGCTGGAGGGCAGTGAGGATAAGATGAAGTCAACACATAGAGTGACAAATCACTGACCCTCTTAGTAAAATTCTACCCAGTGTTAAACATAACTCTTATCTAAAACTCACTTCCAGGGCCTCCCTGCGGGCGCAAGGGTTAAGCTTCAGCACTATGAAGCTACCTATCAGCAGCCTCTGCAGAACGAGTTCCATCCCCAGCCAGGGAGCAGACAGCAAACCTCTCCTGTCTCTCCCACTGCTCCCCTCAGCAATGTATTTCAGTCAGTCTGCCTGTTCTGCCCCCCACTCTGTCTCTGGTGAATCCTCTCACCCCCCACACCTCTGGCCTGTACCCCAGTTCTTGTATGCATAAATAAAATAATTTTTTAAAGGTAAAAAATAAAATAAAATAAAACTCACTTCCACACGGGCCTGCCCGAGGTCTGGCCCGATTGGACACCTGTAACAGTTTTTATAGGCGCAGTGGGAGAGATACCCTGTCTGTCCTGCAATGTTGCAGTGTACTTCGGTCGGTCTGCCTGTTCTGTTCCCCACTCTGTGTCTGGTGAATCCTCTCACCCCCCTCATCTCTGGCCTGTACCCCAGCTCTGTATGCATAAATAAAGAAATGAAAGAAAGAAAGAAAGAAAGAAAGAAAGAAAGAAAGAAAGAAAGAAAGAAAGAAAGAAAGAAAGAAAGAAAGAAAGAAAGAAAGAAAGAAAGAAAGAAGAAAGAAAGAAAGAAAGAAAGAAAGAAAGAAAGAAAGAAAGAAAGAAAGAAAGAAAGAAAGAAAGAAAGAAAGAAAGAAAGAAAGAAAAGAAAGAAAAGAAAAGGAGAAGGTGGTGGTGGTGGCCAGGGTGCTAGCTGGAAACCTCCAGGCTGTAAGAACTCAGAGCCCACCCATTGCGCTGCTGTCCCCAACCTTCCTTGTAAAAGGAGGGTGCAGACGCAGGGATGCCCAGTGGCCCTTGATTGCTATACCTGTCATTAAAGCCAGTAGCAGGCCTCCCCGGTGGCGCAGCGGTTGAGCGCTGGGTTGCGAAGCTGCCTGCAGCCTCTGCGGCGCCGGTTCGATCCCCGGCTGCTCCCCGGCCACCAGAGGAGGGTCCCACATGGCGCGCAGACCTCTCCTGCCGCCCGCTGCTCCCCTCAGCAGTGTACTGGGTCCTTCTGCCTGCTCTGCCCCCCGCTCTGGCTCTGGTGAATTCTCTCACCCTCCCGCGCTTCTGACTGTACCCAGTGCTTGTATAAATAAATAAATAAAATCTTTTAAAAAATAAAAATTAAAAAAAATAAAGCCAGTAGCCTTTTGTTTCACTGCTCCTTATTTTGCTCTTTCTCGAGTTTCACCAGGGACCCTTGGACTTGCCTCCTGCGCAGCTGTGGTGAAATCACTTCCTCTCTTAAAAACCCTGGCCTCGGCGTTTAGGATTAGAATGGCTGACAGATATCTGGATCAGTCCCCTGCCATTTTTCAGATGAAGGCGGCCTCGCCAGCTAGCTAATTTAAGACTGTGTAACCAACAGAGAGGGACCTGGAATCTTTGACATTGTGATTCTCAACTTTGGCTGCACAGTGAAATCACCAGGGTAGCTTTAAAATCAGCTGCTGCCTGGGCCCTGACCCAGGTGCAGTGGGGGTTAGCAGGATTAAAAAAAAAAAAAAAACAAGAATTCCAAGTGGCAGGTCGAGGGTGCCACTGCCAACTCAAAAGGCAGTGTGAGGTTGAGCTGACTACAGGGAGAGGGAGAGTGGGGGTGTGAACAAAGGGTGAGGGGGCTCAGTGGTCTAGGGTAAAGGATGATGGGTGCTTTGATGGTGGTGATCGCGTGGTCACATATATCTGAGGACGTGTGAACCCAGTCCCCTAAATCGTGTGCGGTGCTGTAAAGCACGTGACCTCAGTAAAGGAAAAAAAGAAAACCAACCAAAGAAACAAAAAGGAGTGTGAACCGAGAGGGACACCCCTCCGATTCACACCCACGAGCATGGCCGTCATGTCAGTAAGTAAGTAAATAAAT